TACAATGAGAAATAATGAAGGGTTTTGTGTGACAGAAATATGAAAACATTTGCAGGGAATAATCATTTATGTAGCTGGGTATATGTGGCAAGTAACCACCTAGATGTGAAGCTGTATGTTAGTGGCTACAGCCCAAGTACAAGCAAATGATTTATAAAAGCTAAAATAAGCAGGGGCCATGGGACAGGAATAAAAAGAGGAGAAACACATCCAGAAGATGTAAGATGCAGTTAGAGACTTATCTCTGGTTTGGGGCTTAGCAGATTTGCTAGATGGTTGTGACACTGACCAGGACAGAAAAACAGAAAGACTCAGTTTTGAGAACACAATGTCGTTTTAACAGGAGACACTCTATTGTAAATCTAAAGGGCCTATGGCAAATTGTTATTTACTGAATATATATTAAATCAGCCCAAATCACTCCTTATACAGATAAAAAAATGGTTCAATATTGGCAATTTTTATATGGTTTAAGCTAATATATTTTTAGCTTTTGGCTTGACAATTGTAATTAAATTAACTCAATCATCTATGCCTTTGGGTTTGTTTTGGTCCTGGTGATTAAACCCAAGGCCATTACACTCAGCTATAGCCCTCTCCCTTATTTATTTTGGGAGACAAGCTATGCTGGAGCTTTTGATCCCACTGCCTCAGCCTCCAGGAATGGTGGGATTACAGATTACCGCACACAACTGACTTGAGTATTCTTATTCCAAGTTTACGGATGAGACAATGAAGGCTCAGTAAAGTTAAAGAATTAGCCCTGCAGTTTACTGAAGATAGAGCCAGGGCTGTCCATCTTCAACTCAAGATCCCTGCTCTTTCTGCTTTCCTCTGAGCCCCTCATTCTTCCCTCCCCAGAGCCTTGGCCACTGTTGTTTTAAGATATTCCTATACCAGAGTTCTGTGAACTACACAGCAGGTAGAGTCTGTTATGCTTTGCACAGCATACAGTTTCTGCTGCAGTGACTAAGATCTGCCATTGTAAAGTAAAAGCAGCTGTAGACAATACACAAATGTATGAGGCTGTGTTCCAGTAAAACTTTATCCATGGATACTAACATGTCAATTATATATAACTTTCATGTCACATGAAATATTTTTCTTAATTATTTCCAAGCCATTACAAATATATAAGCCATTCTCAGTTTACAGCTACACAAGATCAGGCAGGAGGTCATGGTTTCCTGACTCCAGCCGAATGTGCTGGAAACTGTAACACTGTGTAATATGAGGAACAAGGTAAAGGGGATTGTGTGTGCTGGTAAAGGCTACTCCAGTCTCTGATTCTGAAATATCAACTGGGCCCAGAGGACGTCACCTAGGCCCTACAAATGAGCACTTCATTCATTTTGATTATGAGATAGCATTCTCTGAAGGGTGATTGCCAACACACCACTGATAGCAGTCTGTATGTAATAAGCTAACTATCATGTGTCACTTTGAATTTTTAATTACTTGCTACAGTTATATACCTATAGCTGACCTCTCAAGCTGATAATTGGCATAAGTGGTTTTTCTAGAGAATCTTATAATGTTAATTTTTAGGTGGAAAAGACAACCACCAGTACATTTATCTCCACAACTGATGGTGTTTCTAAGTACTCCATTCAAGTGAGAGCAACCGTGAGCCCTCAGTGTAGAGCCATGGGGCTATGGAGCAAGTGGAGTCAACCTATTCATGTGGGTGAGTTTCTGAAAATAGATAATCCCAGAAAATACACACATCTTCTCTTGGGTCTTGAAATGGCTTTGCATGTCAGCTTGCCTGTTCTTCTATTGGTCTACTACATTTTCTACCACAGGTGAATTTGCCAAGAAGCCAACAAAACTTAAGCACCCAATTTTTCTGTGAGCACAAGCCCTTCTTAGGCCACATAGCTGTTCTTTGTTTTTCCTTTTCCCTCCTAGTTTTTTCTGTTTCTTGGGAATTTCCTCTCTCTTTCCAGGTCTTTGGTGAAAATTTACCTTATAAGCATCAGATCTGACACATCTCCATGGGCTAATGAGTCATAGCCTAAGAATTTCTTTTTCTTCTCCCTCTTTGTTTTTTAGAGACAGGGTTTCTTTTCCTTTTTTAAAAAATGTATTTAGTACAGGGGTCTACAGGGTCTCACTACACAGATCGGATTCATAGTGATTCTCTTGTTTTAGCCTCCTAAGCGCTGGCATTAGAGGCATATGCCACCACACCCAGTCACATTCGCTGTCTCAGCATGCCCCAGAGTCAGGGCTGGCAGGGCACACTGGGGGAAAAACCCAGTCCCTGCATCTGCCTAAGCTGGCTATATGACTGGCCCTACCCAAACTTTTAGACTAAACAATTTAAGATCATTTTAGATTTAGAAGCTGTTGTAGGAAAATAGAGATCCCATCTTCCTCTGACTCATTTTCTCCCAAGGGTAATATCTTGCAAAACTGTAGTGCAGTATAATAAATAGAAAACTAAGTCCATCAATTGTATGTGTATCCATCTCTGTATGTTGAGGTTTCCAGTGATGTGGCTCTGGAGAATCTTAGCACACACTTAACTTCATGAATCAGCCACCTCAGGTAGGATACAAAACAGATCATCACCATAAGGATCACTTGTGTCACCCTTTTACAAATACACACACCTCACTATCCCTTCCGCCCCTGACCTCTGTGATCACTGATCTGCTCTTCATCGCTACAATTTTCCCATACCTAATTCTGAATTCATCCTTTGCCTTTTCCTCTAAAAGAAGATTTCAAAATAGAATCATCTTCACAGCCCACAAAACCCAGACTCATTTCTCACAGAAGGTGTAGACATCTCGTGGGCTCCTAGGTTGGCTCTGCAACTGTTTTGACTTATGGTCAGTCTGACTAGTTTGCTCGTCAGGTAAATGAGCACCTTATCTGTTAGTGGGATCCTCGAAGGATAATGCTACTGGATGGTGGACCCCAATGAAAGGGCACCCTGCCAGGCTCACTTTGCTTCAGATGGTAACCTGATATCCCCCATGTAGCAGGTTGTTGGGATGTGGCCTTACACCTTGAAGATAAAAACTGTTGCATGCTATTTGCCATTATGTCTGTGTCTTGGGAAAAAGCAAGCACAGGCATTTTCTAAGAGAAGACAGTTACAGAAATGAGAATTGTTTCTTATGTATATGCCATAACCATGCAGCCTGGATATGGAAACATTTGAAGTCAAGTGATTGACTAAGTCCAGAAGAACAGAGAAGAGAAAAGAACACTAGAGTCTTACACAGAAAGCCCAGACTTAACACCTAGTCATGGCATGTGCTGAAGGTGTATTTTTGGAAAAATCATTTCTCTCTGCTGGCTTTCATTTTCAGGATAAGAGGACACTCGAGCCTATGCTGTGGTAAGATAGAACAAAGCTAGCAGATCACAGGTGTGGGTAGCTATTTCCAAGAATTGCAATCATTCCCATGCATTATCTGAGTTAGCACTATAAACAAACCTGTTTTCAGATGAGGAAATTGGTTTGAAAAGTTTAGTTTGCATAAGTGAATGGCCAACCAGTGCCAGAGGTGGGGCTCAGTGCTAGGTTAGCTGCCAATGGCCCCTAACCTCTTGGCGCTCAGCATGGTGTGGCAGGGTCCTGCAGGCTGTAAGGCACTGAACAGATTAAAGCTTTATGCAAGAGTTGCTGATAGCTACTCTTGTGCTAACAGCTAGACTCACCAACTCTCATTAATTTATGGGATTTTGCATGTCTCTTTTTTTTTAAGTGTTTCATACAAGGTCTCACTATGCAACTTGGACTTACAGTGATCCTCCTGTTTTCAGTTTCTCCAGTGCTGGGATTACAGGCATGAGCCACCAAACCAGCTCTCAGTGGCCAGCTCAGCACACCTGGGGCAGGACCAGAGTGGCATGTGGGCTGGGATTGAACCCTAGTCCCTGTTCTTGCCTAAGCAGGTGCTTAGTCTGCTGAGCTATCTCCCCTGCACTTTGCATGATTATTTGAAGTATACAGGATCTTAGTTATATTTTTTTTGCTGCTGGGATAAAATACTCAATAATCCAAATTAAAGGAAGAAATGTTTAGTGTAGCTCACAGTTTGTAGAGGTTTTAGTCCACAGTTGGCTGGCTCCAAAACAGAGTGCAGTGGCAGAGGGGCATCACAGAGAAAAAACAGTTCATGGTGGGCAGAAGGCAGCAAAGCAGTGAGGCAGCAAATAAGCAGCAAGCAACAGCAAGCAACCCTCTTTCTCTTGCACATATTCTACCCCTGGGGTGGGTAGCACTCACACCTAATGTGGGCCTTTTCATAATCCACACCCAGAACTATTCCTAACCAATCAGGAGACTAACTTAGTAACCATACATCCTTGATCCCAGCATCACAAACCTTATCTCAGCATTATACACTCTACATGGAACTTCTGAAAATCTCCTCTTATGACCACGTGAGGCTTTGGGGAGACATCTAGACACATATCGTAACCGTTAAGAAGAGATTCTGGCACATGTTAAAATCATCATGATGTAATGCATTCACTTTGGCTTTGGGTAGGTCTTCAAGAACTTCTTAGTCAATGAGCCATGGAGATTTGTCAAATCTTGCACATTATTGGATAGATTTCCGTCAAAGATTAGGAAAGATGAGAGACCTGAGAAAGGAAGTCTGTTGAAAACTCATTGCAGGGGCCAGGGAGATGGATCAGTGGAATAAGTGCTTCCCTGGCAAGGGCCTGAATTCAATTCCTGGTTTTGCCAAAAATAAAATAAAAAAATTTTTTTTAAAAATGCAGATTTCCCACAGGAGAATAGCACCCCCTAGTGTTGCGCAATGCACAACCAGCACAACGTTATGGGGAAGCACTAACATCATTCAGAGGTCTGGTGTCAACATCACACAAACCTTCTTGAGGAAACCAAAAGTAGGATTAAAAAAAAAAGGAACAAACCTTAGAACAGGCCAAACTCACCTTCATAATTCAGCTGAAGGTAACCTTCCCTACCTTCATCTCCTCCCCAGGTTGTTACCCTAACCTACCTAAACTGACCATGCACACAGAAGATGTCCCTAAAAACTGCTTCACTTGCACATAAAATTTACTCACTGTCCTAAAAGGGAAAATAATAGAAGAAACATTCATCAGTCTCAGAATTTTTAACAAGATTACTAATTTTGTCAAATGTCAATAGTACAAGCCTAATTTTTGTTATTTGCATTAGGTGGGTTCCTTTTTAAGAATATTTTATATTATTTCTCAAGTCCACAAAACTCATTAGCCTCCACTGATATTTCTAACTATCTTTGTAACACTAGTATACACATACTTTCAGAGATTTTTTTTGAAAAATGTTTCTCAAGAGACCTTAAAACAAAAAGCTTGATATTAAGGTCATCATCATGAGAAGCCAGTTATGCTTTATTGTTTCATGAGTTTTACAGCTACAGTCAGTGATGCTCTACAGTTAGAACTCATGGGTTGAGAAGGAAACATGACACATCAGGAGATTCAGGTTTTAGCCACAACTCTGCTAACATCTACCTTTATGACCTAAGTTGGAGATGGCAAAAGATAGTATTTTCTGAGCTCAATTATCAGAAAGCTGGTTATAATACAGTGTTGAAAAGGAGTCTCAGACTAAGTTTAGGTCATTGTAGGGAGTAATGACCTTCTGCCACTACTTCAGGGGACAGAACAGTAAGCAGCGTGCAGGCTTTGGCTAGCCAGGTCTAGCCCGGCACACTTACCCTCTCTGGGTCTCAGTTTCTTCACCTGTAAAATGTGAGTGCCACACTCTCCAGTTGCTGCCAACAGTGCCACAAAAGTGCTGAGAATGAAATTATGATTCATCATGAGAGTGTTTTTTTAAGCTTGTTTTAAATTTATGATTCGTTCTCCCCTTCAGAGCTCGCTCGCTCTCACCATTATTATTTCCTAAATAACAGCTTCCTAGTTTGGATCTGGGCTCATTATAGTTTCCCCCCAGGTGCACCTCATTGCTATTATCTATGGCAAATCCCATTTCATTTACTGCCACCCATTTCATGAAGATGAGCTGATTAATATTAGTACTCACCTTATAAATCCATCCTTTCTGGAATTTACTCCCCTATTCAGTTTAGGGTCATTAGTGATTTTAATCAATGCAGACCTTCCATTTTCATCCAGATGATTAATAAACATAATAGGAAGTCCAAGCCTCTTGGGGACATTTTGCATGGTGCTTCCTCACCCCTTGAGGATGCAGCAATAATTATGCTCAGCTTGCAGTCTACCAGGCAATTTTGCTGCTAAACACTCATTTCCTTTTAATACTCTTTCTCCTCTCTTACCTTGCCTTATAAATGGCACCCTGGAGCCCTCCTCTTCCATTTTCATTCCCAGATACAACTCAAATAACACCCCTTCCTTACACATATTAATCCCATCCTCTTTATTTTAATTAAGGTTAGGAAATGAAGGTCCAGAGATAGTTAATGTCTCAGTAGTTGTCAAACAGCCAAGAAATGGCTATTAATGTATAATTTCCTCAAATAGGTGACATATGAGCCAATTAACAAATTAGAATAGATTCAATTAACTAAATTAACCCATTATAGTCCAAGATTATTTCATAACCAATGAGACATAGCTAAGTTGGATTAATGAGGTGGGGCAGGATTATACACATTTCCTCCCTGATCTGCTGGTCAAAGCCAGCAGGCACAAAGGGTGCCTGCCCTGAATGAG